TGAATTATATTTCATTGTCTGTGTATACCGTACTTTTTAAATTCATTCATCCATTGACAAACACTTGAGTTACTTCCACATTTTAGCTATTGTGATTAATGCTGCTATGAACACGGTGTACAAATACCTGTTCAAGTCTCTGGTTTCACTTCTTTTGTTTGTGTATCATAAGTAAAATGACTGGATCAGGCTGGGCACAGTGGTTCATGCCTGTAATCCCAGCACTTTGGGAGGCCAAGGTGGGCAGATCTTCTGAGGTCAGGAGTTCGATACCAGGCTGGCCAACATGCTGAAACTCCGTCTCTACAAAAATTAGCTGGCATGGTGGCACATGCCTGTGGTCTTAACTACTCTGGAGGCTGAGGTGGGAAGATCACTTGAACCTGGGAGGCAGAGGTTGTAGTGAGCTAAGATCATGCCATTGTACTCCAGCCTGGATGACAGAGCGAGACTCTGTCTCAAATTGAAAAAAAAGGAAAAAGAAAAAAAGAAAAGGAATTAAAATTACTGGATGATATGGTAAATCTGTTTTTAATTTTTTGAAGAATCATTACACCAGTTTCCCAGTGGCTATGATGCACGATTTTTTACTCTTTAGTTCAGTTAAAATCCAGAGTATTGTCTCAGGACCAGGAAAAATTAGGCATGCAGACACATTGAAGGGTAAGGAGGGCAGATTTATTGCGTGAAAAGAAAACTCAGCAAAGAAAGAGGGGGTCCTGCTAACAGGATCTCACCTCACAGATTGAATACCAGGCCACCACACATGTGCTGAAGAGGCCAGGCTCCTCCCCTTATATAAAGTGTGAATTACCGGTGGCTCCACCCCACTCTCACAGGCATTGCAGGCATGCCCAGGGAAGACTCTGGGCAGGTTCCCTCATCTGCACAAAGGCATCTGATATTTGGGATAGTGAGAGATTCTCTGGGAACCCTTGCTTATTTGCCTCCTGTATCTATCAGCTATAGCATTTTACAGTTCCCACCAGCAATGCCAACAACGCCAATTTCTCCACATATCCTTGCCAAGAATTGTTAATTTTTGGTGTTTTGATAATATTTTTCCTCATGAATATGAAGGGGTATCTCATTGTGGTTTTTAATTTGCATTTCCCTAATAATTAGTGATGTTGAGCATCTTTTCATGTGCTTATGTGCTTATTGGCCATTTGTATATATATCTTCCCTTTTTTTTTTTTTTTTTTTTTAAATTTATTTATTATTATTATACTTTAAGTTGTAGGGTACAAGTGCATAACGTGCAGTTTTTTTTGAGACAGAGCCTCCCTCTATCACCCAGGCTGGAGTGCAGTGGCATGATCTTGGCTCACTGCAACCTCTGCTTCCTGGGTTCAAGGGATTCTCCTGCCTATAGTCCCTCCCTAGTAGCTGGGACTACAGGCGCGTACCACCACGCCTGGCTAATTTTTTGTATTTTTAGTAGACCATGGGGTTTCACTGTGTTTAGTCAGGATGGTCTCATCTCCCCACCTTGTGAATCTGCCCGCCTTGGCCTGCCAAAGTGCTTGGGATTACAGGCGTAGAGGCCACCTGCCTGGCCGAATTTTCTTTTTTTTTTGAGACGGAGTTCTTGCTTCTGTCACCCGGCTGAGTGCAGTAGTAGCATGATCTGTTGGCTCACTGCAACCTCTGCGCTCCTGGGTTCCCAAGGTGACTCTCGCTGCTCAGCCTTCGCAAGTAGCTGGCGGATTACAAGGCCACCTGTCAGCCAATGGCTTGGCTATATTTTGTTTTTTTAGTAGAGACACTCGGTGTTTCAGGCCATGTTGGACCGGGGCTGGTCTCAAACTCCTGAGCCCTCAAGTGATCCAAGCTCCGTTTCAGGCCTCCAAAGTGCTGGATTGAGCGAGCGTGAGCCACCCACACTTCAAGCCGCATTTATATACTCTTCTTTAGGGAAATGTCTATGGCAGATCTCTTGCCTGCCCATTCCCTTACGTGGTCCGGGCTTTTTTTTTTTGGACAGGAGGGTCTCCACGTCTGTTGGCCCAGGCTGGAGTGTACTGGGCTCTATCTTGTTCTAAACTGCAATCGGCTCCTAAAATTTTTTTTCTTTTTTTTTTTTTTCTTTTTTTTTTTTTTTTTTTGGATTCAAGTGATCCTCCCACCTTAGCAATCGTCAAGTAGCTGGGAAACACGAGACTTCAAGCTAATTTTTTATTTTGTGTAGAGACTGCCCAAGCTAAATTTTGTTATCTATAGTATGAAGATAGGGTTTCACCATGTTGGTCGAGGGCTTGCTCGAACTCCTGATCTCGGTGATGCCCCGCTTAGGCCCCCAAGTGCTGGCTATTACAGGCGTGGGCCACTGCAACGCCAGCCTATCCTGATGTTTTCTTCTAAGAGTTTTATAGTTTATGCTCTTATCAATTCGGGTCTTTTGATCCAATTTTGAAACTCCACACAGTCAATAATCGCACACACAACTTTTGACTCCCCCCAAACTTAACTATTAATAGGCCTACTGTTGAGCTGAAAGTCTTACGGATGACAGAAACAGTTGATTATCACACAATTTTATATGTTACTATGTATATTACTGGCATAGTATTCTTAGCAATTAA